TTTTGCTGCCGATGTATGTTTTTGCATGTCTAAGTTGAAATCTCCAGTTATAACTATATCAGATATAGTTGTGTCAAAAGCGAGACCGATTGACATTTCTATCTGAGAGAGCACAGAAGGGGAAGAATTCGGAGGACGATAGAAAGTACCAAAAAGAAGTTTCTTATTTTTAAGAAAAATCTCCAACCAAATACATTCCACACCTTGAATCTCTAGGTCGTATCTTCGAATTGCAGGGATAGTGTTTTTAACATAAATCAAAATACCTCCATGATTGTCCGTACCTCTAAAGTGTTTTCTTTATCTTCATTATACTGTAATAGGTCACTTCTTTTCTTACTATCTACTTTATTTAATTCTGTTTCAATATGTCGATCTTCATAGCCTCGTTTCTGTAACTGAGTTTTAATATTTTCTCTATGTTGTTTGCAAGTCGATTCATTAGTACATATTCGCTTAGCACGGAGGGCAAGTCCATATGGTATTGATTTTTTTGTCGATTCCGGATGAGACGAATTTTTATGCAAGTACAGGTGTTTATCTGTGGGTTTAGTGTATAGGTCTGTTATTAAAATGCCATTCTGAATCTTCGTCATTACGTCGAGAAACTCAAGTTTTTCAGCTGAATATCTTAATTCTAATTTTATTCTTGGATGAAGGTTATTCCCAAGCTCATGGAATGTTTTTAACGACTCGATACCGTGAGTCCAAAGGCCCCAAACGTCATCAACATACCGGAAATACTCAAGCGGAAGTTTATCTGTTATCGTCATCAGCTGTGATTCCAATGATCCAAGATATGTAGATGCGTAATTCATCCCTAATCGTGAGCCAATCGCTGTTCCTTCTGTCTGCGTAAATTTTCTTCCATCAAATGAAATAGTGTTATTTTCAAGGACAGTGTCCATCATATTAAGAACATCTTCTGTGGGTATGTTAGGGTTGGCACGTTGATTTAATGCACGTGCAACCGCATCTCGTGCCTCTGCCCGTGGGACACTTGGGTACAGAGCTTTCACGTCTAAACAGAAAAGAATTGTTCCTGCCGGAAGTGGTTGTTTAAAGATTTTTCGATAATGGGGCTGGAAAAGCTATACGGGAATGACCAATACAGAAAAACAATAGAAAATTTGTGGAAAAATAAATTAAGAACCTATAGACCGTATGGAGTTAATACAAAAGAATAACGCGGCAGGCGGCAACCAACGCCACGGCGGGCGTCGTTCATTGACGTTACGTCACTTCCATTGTTTTGTTTGATATATTTGTATGTGAAATAAATGCTGCTGAAGAAGGCAGCAAGGCCGAAAGCTACGGCAAATTTAAATAGCGTTTTTGCTTATATATATATATATATATATATATATATATATATATATATATATATATATATATATATATATATATATATAGTGGGAAAGGAAAAAAAATGACAGAATCCCCCCTGTGGCATAAACCACATCAGGTAACATTTTAACAATAAAAGGAAACGTAAAAGAATGTGTTAAAGCATATATACCATTTTAAATCATAAAAACACTCATAAAAATGTTGCGTTTCATAAGTCGAAGCCTTCAAGCATTTACCTGATTAAAACAAAACTCCTGACAGTGGCGCTGATTTAATTTCAGAAACTCTCTTATAAGATTTGAGATTTTTTATATTTTTGTCAATTTTAAAAAGACGCATATTCGGTCCACATATCACGGGTGATGTATAAATGTGTAATTGAATTGCACGTATAAAGACATCAGCGGAATATATAACAAAATAAATTATTGATATGTTAAAAACATTAATGACCATTTTGATAAGATGTAACAGTGATAATAAATGGATATTTCACCCAGGAGACAGTGTCACATGTAGTATCTCGTTCAACAATTTCAAAGCATTCAATTAATTTGCCAACCTCAGAGATATAGATGAATAAATATAGATATTGACAATAGATATAATCTTTTGTTTGTTTTGGGTTTTACGTCACATCGACTCAGTATAGGTCATATCGCGACGTTCCAGCTTTACTGGTGGAGGAAGACCTCAGGTGCCCTTCCGTGCATTATTTCAGGCACGAACGGGCACCTGAGTAGAACCACTGACGTTCCGTAAGCTACCTGGATAGCTTCCTCACATGAAAGAATCCAAAGTTCCTGTCGGGATTCGAACCCACAGCGGTGAGGGGCAAGTGATTTGAAGTCAACGACCTTAACCACTAGGCCACGGACGCCCTATAGATATAATCTAAAGGTCAGCTTAAAGTTCATAAATGTATCAAACATTGACTCAAACATTGACTATGTTTCATGTGTCCATGTAAGATATGAAATTAAAAGGAAATCCCCTCTAGAGTGATGAAAACATAAATGATTATGTGGAGATCAGTGACACCGTTTGATCAAGTCTTTCCAAATGTGCGGCATCTCTAACAGCCCCTCTGGCACCGACTTTAGCAGAGTTCAAACTTAATCTTAAAACGTATTAGAATCAATGGGAAAATATTAAAAACTTTCAGAGCAAAATTAATGATAGTCAACAACTTTAGGAAATGCATTAAAATGTTTCGTGTCATTTTCTTCTAAAAATCTTCTAAACAAAATAGGAAACACTAATTATGTCTTTAAAACGTCTTAGAGGGCAAACCAATGCCACTGCTAATCGACATAGTGAAAAGTTACTATTTGTGATGCAGGTGTCCTGTAACTGGATCAGTTACATCGGAAATCAATGCTGAAATCACCTAAAGTCGTGTCTAGCAAGTGGGACATGCTGGGAAATTTGCTATTTGATTCCTCCTAGAATATTTATAACTGTAATATTATTTTTATTTCTTTCTTAATGTCAGATTTTTTTCTTGTTCTCTCTAGGAGCATTCTTATGTGTAACAAATGTCGAAGTAGACTATTTGCATACTGTAGTTCAACCGCATCTGCTCGGCCCTTTCCTTCAATTTTCCGCTAAGTTATTATTGATAATAGCTGAGATGTTCCGATTGACTGTAATCATGAACTATTGACAAAGTGTTCATCACAATTCATTTCTCAAAGACTTCATTTCTGGGGACAAAATAGTGATCAGTCACTCATTATGCTAAATAAATGATCCATTAAAGCACGACAATGTGCCCCTCCTCTTTTACGGCACATTTGTTACTGTTTTGTACTTATGGATTGTCAAATAAAATGGATATGTAAGACGTGAAATGTACATTCGCTTGAAAATATACAAGTATACATGTATTAACTGACTTTGATTAGGGCAACTTATTAATTTTAAAACATCCGAAAAAATGACGTAACTAATATATGTGCATTTGCATATTACTTTACATTAGATTTTGTTCCAGACCACTTTTCTTGGTGATGCTTTCAGTATTATTGGTAATCTTTTACATATTAGTACCTATGTTTGCAACAACTTGAATTCTAAAATTTTATAGTAAGAAAATATGAGAATTTGTTAAACATGTTAAATCATTCCCTTTTTAGATATAAAAACGTAAACTAATGAGTTGAACCAATTTGAAGAACTTTTCTCAATTTTCCGGGAGATTCTCACTTTAAACATTTTTGTCAATTTGAAAAATGAAAGAAAAAAAATGAGAACAAAAAGCAAAGGCAAAAGCAACGTCCACAAGATAAACAAGGAAAAGGCAATGTTCACAAGCCTTGTATTATTAGGTCCAAAAAGCACTGAACTCCTTTATATATAATTGAATTGCGTGTATGGTAATGTATTAGAGATTTAATTATAGAAATGAAAATTTTCATAACATGTAACATTGAGAGTAGCCTGTAGATAATAAGTGGATATTTTCCCTGGAGACGGCTACACCCTGGAACCATTAACTATAATAATGTTTAAAGTGTTCAAAGCATTCAATCAATTTGTCACTGTCAAGGGATATACTAGTAGGCGAATAAATATATGTAGATATTACCAATATATATAATTAAAGTGGATTGGTCTACAATGGGCACTTTTTTCATACGTATTTCAAATGTTGATGAAAACAATAGAAATGTATCATTGGGATATACTTATAAAATATTACTCGAAAAAAAAATCTTGATAAAGTTTTAGATGATTTAATATGAACATTTATATGATGAATAATGTTTTGTTTTCTGTATCTTACACTTGCCAGCAAAGGTCCATATATAATTATTTTGCGGTTTGTTGTTTGATGTTTAACATCGTCAACGTATTTATTTATTGTATTACAAATATATGAAAGAAAGATGGTGCCTCCGAAGCATTAATCACAACAAAATTGTATAAAAATTACAGACTTTGTTTGATTGAGTCTGTACATTAGGAATAATAAAAAGGTGTAACATCCCTAGCACTGGCTTGAGTGGTACTTTTTCATTATAGACCATTTTACTTTAATTTTTCTATGCTATACATGAAAAGTATCAAACTTTGACTTTGTTATGTGTTTCCATTTAGGCTTTCACTGTATATTTGACCTTTTTAGTCTTATATTTTGTAAGAATTATAATATATATGAGTCCTCTACCCTTTAATATATTTTTATCATTTATGTGGGCTTACATTGTATATGGTTCCTTATCCAGAATTTTAAATTCTTATGCCTGGACAAAGAGAATTTGTAAAAAATACATAAGACTTTCCGCCAGAACGGGTTTTCAGCCCTAATATTTACTAATAGCAAGAAATTCAATTCTATGTAAATTCAGTAAATGTTATTAGTAAAGTATTTTATAATTGTTATAGTTGCTCGGCCTTGGTTATTTTTTTTTATAGAATTTGACTATTTCATCCGTTATTACATTTTACATTCAGACACTGCATTTTCACCGCACATGCAAACAAACTAAATCCCAACTAAATTCAGTCCCAAATTGATATTAATAGGAATAACGTTTTACGAAAGATCCTTATTAAATTTTATAATTTATAATTATATCTACGAAAACTAATACACAAAACCATTGAATCTAAATCAAAAGACTTAGCATGTTTTTGTTACTTACCAATAAGAAAACAATTGAGGATTGTTCCCTGGAAATAGAGAAATGAGAAAATTGTTAATAATTCATCATTTGCCATATAAGTGGGAAATTATACAGCAATATATTCATAAACTAACAAAACAATCTGAATCGTTTCTATTTTAGTTTTAATTTAAATATTTAGATGATAAATTCAGCAGAGAAGTTATTTATCTGACATCTTTTGGTTCAATGACGTCATAATATATCTTTTTCCCGGTCATTTAGGATATTAACAGCGTTAAAATAAACTGTAAGTGCGTGATAACACGTGATAATATGTAGACAGTGCCTTTGGATAATAGCAGAACATTTGAACTTTTAGCCAGCTAAAGGCAACTGATTCTACCAATGCGACAAGTGCAGACCGAGATCCGCCGGCACATTATTGCCGTCGCTGCTCGTTATTCAGGTAGTACATATTTAAAAAAAAAACCCAAAAGAAGATGAATAGTTCAGTACAGATTGAAAGATGGTACAAGTCCATTTTAGATATTAAGCGTGATGTTTTGTTTGGTTTCACGGCGCACCAAAACAATTAAAGTCATATGATGCTGAAACAAGAAAGATGATTTTTTTTAGAAATCTCGGGTGTTACAAACTTAAAGCAACACCAAGGTTCAAAACCACATCACCTGCTTGAGATGTATAGACTCCAGTAATTCGAACTAGTTCGAAATTAGAAGGCTCTTAAACGTTCACGCAGGGATAAACGGTGGCTGCAATTGTGATGACTCAACCCCTAAAGGCCATCCCTCAGCCAGAAGGGAAACATAGCGTGGTAAGAGTTTAATACTACATCTGGCTTAAATATCAAGGATATGTGGTTATTTTCTATAAATGTTTAAACTTCATAATAATACTCACCAGCACCGCAAATAGTAGCACCCCACCTATGTTTTCTGCAAACGTACGATCATGAAGGCTAAATGCAGACTCTAATATAATTCTGAAATAAAAATTTATCAAAATTATAAATTTTATGTTGTTTTTTTCAATTACTTTCCCGCCATTACTGTAGTGATACCCTACCTCCCTCCACACACATATATTTTCCTCTTTGATTAAGCGTATACTATTAATAGCGTAGGTTGAAAACGAAAATCATTGGATTTCCCAATTCTAAACCTGTTTATATAATATTGCTGTACATGTTAATTTCAGTATTTTATACCTATTATACCTATTTTGGAAAAAGACGAAAGATAATTCTGAGTCAAAATGATGAGATTTCAGTGTCCTACTCTATTCATACACGAAGAAATCTTGTTGCGTCACAATCAGGTTTTATTGCCTCACAAAAGATAGCTTAAAGTGGACTGGTCTATAACGTAAGGTCGGTAATACCTGAATGATTGATTAATATGTTAATTGTTGATAATTATTTAGTTTAGTTCATACTAGTTTATTTTTGTCCGATTGTGTTGGAAGCTATAAGCTTATTAAAACACTCTCGAATCTGGTCCTGGAATCAACCAGTACTAAGCAATGAGTGTAAAGTTTCTTGCGCACGAAAACAAAACCCACGCGGCCAACAATCCTGCTATTACTAGTCCGACGCGTTAACCAGTCGGTCAGGCCGCAATTCATGATTGAATTTGGACAAACTACCAAAGAATTGTATATTCATACTGTTTGTGTCAGATACATGATACAAAATGTCATATGATATCAATATATAGCAGATAGAACAAAATATGATTATTCATCATATAAATGTTCGTACTTAAAGGCTCATGTCGCCTCAGAAATGCTATCAATTTTATATCCCAAAAACTTTTCATTTTTGAAATCATGATTCATTTGCCATTTAAATGAACAATCTTATGCACATTGCGCCTTTAATCACTTTTGAACTCTAACAACATTTTTCTTTCTAAAATGCCATATTTCTGTTGTGTTTCTTCATCAATATTTGAAAATACTTACAGAAAATGTGGCCATTGAAGACCAATTCACTTTAATGAATTTTATTTATTCAAACAGGAAAATAAGAAATTTTCTAAATCAATGAAATCGTTATAAAGCAAACGAAAATAAAAAAAACAGCAGAAGTCCTACGAATTACAACAGTTACTTCTTTATAATTACTTTGGTTTAAACTAATTTATTTAAGCTCGATTGCGAAACAAGTTCTTGCAACTTATATTAATCACTTTCGAGTCCGCTTCCTGGAACCAACCTGTACTGGTGTCAGATGAAGAAACATGGTCGTGATCTGATTAGCCCGAACCCACGATCCCTGGGTTGAGAGGCAGATACCATAACCAGTAGGTCACCGCCCGCCTTCTATAATTACTTTATAGTGTATATAAAACACAATTAGAAAAAAATGAAAATATTTAGAAATCTTTTTTTCTTGATATACTGTATTCTGTTTTTGTATTAAGACAGACATTTTTATGATTTCCTAACGTCAGTATTTCCAATTACTTACGGTGGTAGAAGAAACAGGAAGAATTCATGTGGAGCGTACAGTTTTACATTATCTGCCTCACCAGAGTAGCTGCAAATACACCAAAATAATTCAATTACTTCCCTTCATTTGCAGACTTATAACATCCCCCGTCTGCATCGTTATCATATTTAACAGGCATTCTTCTAGTATATAAAGGACAATGCATAATTTTGTTAAATTTGAAAATGTATTGGTTGTAAGTGACACCGACACGGGTATGGCAGCTTTCCAGTGTCGGATTTGAACCCGTATCGAAGTTGGAAAGTTAAAATGCACCTAGAGCACTGAGACATTATGGACATGATAATTTTATTACATCACTGCTTATAAGATTATCGGTCTCCGTGGGTAGCTAAATTTGGATCACTTCTCCTCATCGCAGTGGGTTCGAATCCTGCAAGAAGCAACGTTTCTTGATCCCGGACAGTCGGTTGTCCTAAAATAATGCACGGACGAGGGCATGAGATCTTCCTTAACCAATTGTTCTACAATGTTGCCATGTTCCTAAAGTTACAATGCCTTTGCAACTTGAAAGCGAAATCGAAATAAATAAAAAAAAAAATAAATAAATAAAAAAAAAATAAATAAATAAATAAATAAATAAATAAATAAATAAATAAATAAATAAATAAATAAATAAATAAATAAATAAATAAATAAATAAATAAATAAATAAAATACTTACTGCAAGATAACTCCAAAGATGAGACCCAGAATTATCAACACACTGTAAAAAAGACATTCAATTACGTGTATACTATATCAGATGAAATTACGAAAGACATTTCAACCTCGTTAATTCCCGAATTCATCTTCGTGAATTTACATTTTTAACATACGGAACTCGGTATTTCAACTTCATGAATTCACGATTTCAATTTTACGAATTCACGATTTCAATTTTATGAATTCAGAAATTTAAATTTCACGAATTCAGGAATTCAACTTCACGAATTCACAATTTCAACTTCACGAATTCACGATTTCAACTTCACGATTTCAATTTCGCGAATTCGGGAATTCAACTTCATGAATTTACGAATTCAACCTCACGAATTCACGAAGTTGAAATTGTCAGTTTACGAAGATGAAATCGGGAATTCAAGAAAATGAAATGTTCCCACCGAAATGTACTAAATTCCTTGCTATTTTTGCTGATAATGTGGTTATTGATATTCAGAAAAGATATCCATCTAAAGATTAAAAATGTAAAAGCATACTTTGGAATCTATGATCGTGCGTAATATTTTAATCAATAAATTGTGATACATGGATGTCAGGATTTGACGTCATTTTAATAACTACAATTCATGGAATTGTCTTACTTTATTCTGTAAATTCATGTAACAATTCATTAATTGTAGGTATTAAATTATCAAACCCATGTATCACAATTAACAAACGGTTGTTTTTGAAATATAACCCGAGCCGCTAGGCTTACGTCACAAACGTGCAGTATTATAAAATTGAATTTAATAAAAATATCATTTTATATCATGTGCGCATTTTACTCACCATGATTCCGGAACTTTTGAGGACAAGAAGTGTGAGTAATGAAATCCGAGTTTACTTAATCCCGCAAATATCACTACCAGGGAGAATATAAGAGGATATTCCACGTGCGAAAAGTGCAGGGGTATAAGAATAATTCCCTTGTGCCCGTGCCCTTCCTCCTCATGAATGTTCGAAGACTGATTGTCATGTAGATTTCCTGTCTCGTTTTTGTGTGTGCCATTATGCAGGGTAGTAAATTCTGGCGCAATGGATGATGTTTGACTTTGAACGGTTAGACACTGTGATATCAAAATTAAAAGCGTGACCGGTAAAGTTGAAGGTTTCTGAAAAATAAATTTACAAAAGATTCTCTTACACATTACTAATTAGATCTATATCATTTTAATTTATTTCCTATTCTCCCACTGATATAGTTCACCTTAAATTACTACTAGATGCTCTATAATATCCTATTCATTTTTATCCACTTTATTCCACCCTGTATAATAACTATATACTCAGTACTGTAACTTTTATCCACCCTGTTATACGAGTAACTATAGCGTATCGTAGCGTAATACAATCTACTGCTGATTTTGAAGAGAGCCATGATCGATTCTATTTTTATTCTCTCGGTGAGATGTGCATCATTTCTGAATTAAAAGAACGCTGGATGTAAATCATGCTCTCAATGACGTCATAGGAGAAATTTCTGTCTCAGAAAACTGCCCTTCACATTAGAATATACTCTAGATAAAAACAGGAAGTGGAATAACCAATCCTATAGGTTTAGAGTGTAATAATCAGCACATATTATCGATCAATATGCTAACGTTACCGTACATATTCTTACCGGCCAATTTCGATAAATCTGTTCAAATATTATAAAATTAAAATCCTATACTTTTACCCATCAATTAAAATAATTAATATTTTAAGTTTAGTTTAAATTCGCATTGAAATTCAAACATTGTTTTTTTTATTCCTTTAATTCTAAGGCCCTTTAATTTAAATTAAAAAGAAATAACATAAAAGCACATGTGTATAACTGCTAAACATATAGTATTAGCACTGCTTACTACTAAAATACCGTGTTTTTTAAGTTTGTTTTGTTGTTGGTGGTGGTGTCTTATTGTTGTTGTTGTTTAATTGTTGTTGTTGTTGTTGTTATTGTTTAAACACTTCTTGTAATTTTTAAATTTCAAATAAAGACAAATTTTTAACATTAGGAAGAACACGATTTCGGCTAATCAAAATAATTGTAACTTGATATAGGATTGGGCGTAACCATGTAATTGTGTTCGATTAAATATTTCCCTTTCTTAAACGACATCTTACAATAATGTTCGCTAACCACATATTTTCCATTTTTTGTTGTTGTCTTATCAGGCAAGGGAAACCCCCATCGAGTATTTGAATTATAAGAAAGCATAGTTTTAATCAGGTAATAGAAAAGTCTAAGTGAAGAGAAAAAACATCTACAGCAAAGGTTGTTGGGTGTACGAGGATTGTTCCGATACATGCGCCGCGAACGTGCTTGTCGATTTCCGATACAAACGCTGGAAGTCGTCTGCTTCTCAAACTGCCAGAATCCTGAACATTTTATTCTTATGAAGAGTCTTACGATAATGAATAATTTCTACATATGATATGTATGTGCTTTAACCAGGACATAGACACTAGGGGCTCACACACCCTTGTACACCATTCTTGCGAATCTACCTACTTTGTTCCCCCCCCCCCAACCCCACCCCAGCATCAGTCAGGACACATGAGCTGGTCAGCAGTAAGTCCTGGTCTATTTTCGCCATTCCAAGATTCCAAGTCTTCAAATCTGTCGATGCTTTGTGGCATCTCAGCGACGTGCACGGTCCGACGGGGGGATAGGGGGTGAGAAGAGTGATATCCCGAATGGAGTGTAATTGTACCTAATTGTATTTATAGAGTCGCCATAGTTTGGTTTTATCTTAAACAGTGACGTCACGTTGGAAAACACCCTCTCACGTGACATATAAAAAATAGGTATATTTGTATTTTGAAAAATGCCGAAAAAATAGACGAAAGCAGCATCGTGATATTACGATATTGCCCGAAATTCACCGATTCATAATGGTTCGTAATCCTTTATGGAAAATGTCAATAAATCCTTTCTGTGCCAGTCAAAATTGTGAAAGTCGCCAGAAAGTGAAACTTCTCAGATTTAAACTTTTAATGAACATTACAAATTGTATGTAATAGTCAGATAATAATCAACATAATAAATATATCGATATGCACACGTATAATACGTCCTTACCATATTTAATCCTCCTTTTAATATCACATTCGTCCATTAATTAGTATATCTATAACTGTATAATAAACAACGAATGTATGAAAGACTAAATTTTCAGTATTTTCCGTGACTTAAACATACCATATTACCAAATTAGTAAAAAATACATCCTGGTTTGAACAATATGTGATAATAAACCAAATCCGTTGAAATTTTATATATTATAAAAACTATATACTGCTTAACATTGTCCTTAACGATATTTTAACAAAGCACGTGCATGCATTCGTTGGCGGATATTTATTTTTTTATCCGAACACATTTCTTTTACTGTTGATATTTGATTTTATTTACCCGAGATGCATTTGTGAATTCAAATATAAATAAGGCTATCCGGCTTGCGAATCATGGTGTACTAGGGTTTACTTTTATTGTGTACAATATCATTGTAACAAAATATACACACATCATCAAAGATTCAAATGACAATGTTAGCTTGAAAGTTTGTTTGTTTGTTCGTTTGTTGTTGTTTTTTTTCTTGTAAAGAGAAAATTCATACTACATTAGTAGTTCTTAAAGATATATACTATGCTCAAATTTGATATTAGAAAACATTGATAATTGCTAACACAGTCTCTTTATAAATATAAAATAAACGTGTTTTGACTTCATACAAAGTAGATATGTTATGTTTTGTTTTAAACCCTACATACTATAGGTGCGCACAAAATTAATATATAGTGTCATTCAAAAAACTGTTTTTTTTAAAAAGCCAATTTTACCTGATCCATAAAATGGAATGTAGCTTCCTGTACATCGTTTGTACATTCTGTTATTCAAATTATTCATATTCACGTGGCACGGGCACGTTTACATTACGTTTGTGTTCCAAAAAACGTGATCGATTAATCCTGGATAACCTTGATTAAAAACAACGCAAAAAATCAGCAGTTTAATATTATCCTATAGTAAAATCTATTTTTGATTACATAAAACCCCCATCCTATTCTGTTTTACATAAGATATTTGCTTACAGAACTTATAAGATGTACCAGAAGATGTACCAGAAATTAGCTACTTTTAAAAGAAAATATTTTATATATGATACAAATAAAAATTGTTTGTATGTCACGGCCAATTTACGTTTTATGGTTCATCTGCACTTTGATATCGACATGCATTTACCATACATGTATATTGTAAAATATGAAATTACATGTGTACATAAATCGTGTAAATAAATACGTTTGCAGGACGCATACATTTATGTTTTGTGTTTTTGTTTTATTGACAAATAATGGTCAAGTGTACTTGCAAAAATAAATGTTATGTAATACTTTTCATTTAGATATATCCTTATTTTATTTCTACATTTAAGCATTTTACCTTTAAATCGAGTATAACGATACAGACAGTAAAATTGAGCTGGTGTATTTAAGTGCATCTATCTATTCAAGGCGTTTAAATTTCAAAACTCATTAACACGTGCGTCCGTGCATTATCATAACAGTTATGGGAGAACTCATTTGTATAGCTCTTATGTCCTAGGTTTTTTTTAATAAGATTATATTTAAAGAAATTTATATATCCGGTTTGCGTAACTATTCATTGAAAAAGAAAATAATATGAAAACGCACTGGGTATTTTTTACCTTATTTTTCCTCATAAATACCCGGATAACTTGAGATATATATACACTAGTAAGAAATAAACCATTTTAATCCTATATTTGGAGCTATGCTGAGTTTAATACAATACAGTCGAGGGAGTTATATAACCTCACTCTGTTTTAATCGCACGACGAACGAACAGACGGACGGATTGGCAGCCACGAAGTCAGTGAAACAGACATTAAACAAACCGCTTATGCTATTCCTGAGTATCTATTGCTAAGGACTACACAACAGCAATGTTGGCAGCAGCAGCAGCAGCAGCAGCAACAACAACAACAACAACAACAACAACAACAACAACAATAAAAATAAAAATAATAATGATAATAATAATAATAATAATAATAACAATAACAACAACAACAACAACAACAACAACGACGACGACAGCAGCAGCAGCAGCAACAGCAGCAGCAGGAACAAAACAATTAAAATGAAATCAATGATGTCAAGTCACGCCTGTACTCAGACATTTGTTCTATTAGTTTTTCTCGGTGTAATGGGGCGTTAAAATCTATCCGCAACGCAATACTTTATTTTACAGAGCGTCATTAATAATAAAAAATATATAGTTCAACTTTGTGTACAAAGGTCATTCCCCGACCTTGGCAATTTTGTAATTGATACATATGGGGCTAAATATCTCCTGTGTGTTTATTTCTATGTCCATTCATTTCAAGTACAATCAAATGTAATCATATATCCCATCTTGTATTATTTGACCCTTTAAAGGCCCATTCTTCCTCAAAAATATATATATGTTTAGAAATGACAAATTCATGTTTTCTAAAATATGATTTCAAGCAAGTTAAATGTTCAACAGCTGAAGAAAGTAGCGTTGAACTTGCAGTAATGTGTCGTAAAGGTAGCAAAATGTAAACAAAGTAGGATTTTGACTTTGATACTAAATATTTCACTTAAAAATCCACTTTAATCATAGAAATGCTAAAAAAGAAGTAAAACCAAAAGAAGCAAAATAAAGTTTATCTGTATTTCAAAATTAATGAATATTATTTTCTGCTTTTTGTTGAAAGTGTAACAACATACATCATGGGCCTTTAAAATAACAGATGGACAATTATAATGATATAGGTATTGTTTAAAGTTTACAAGGGGCATACAATGTCATGCGTGAACACGCATATTATATTTCATTGCGTTTGTTCATTTTTAACGAAATATACAAGAGAGCGAAACCTTTGGAATTTTAAAGGTGACCATTAGAATAGAAACAACAATTTAAGTAGGTCAATGTACTTTGATTTTTATCCTCAACACTATGATATCATTTTTTGTTGATTTGAAATAACGTTCTAGAATAATTACTAATGATATATAAACGTAATTAAATTGTGCTATAATTAATTGAAAATTAGTATTGAAAATGTATTGTTTAAATGCATTTTGATCAATAAATTACCACATTATGTATCATTATGTACTATGTACAAGTCAAAAATACAATAATGTTCTGTTCTGTTCATCTAAATTTGGCAATGTGCGACTACCTCTAATAGACGATCTCTCTTAAGGGTAAATGAGCCGCGTCACGACCAAACCAACATAATGGGGTTGCGACCAGCATGGATCCAGACCAGCCTGCGCATCCGCGCAGTCTGATCAGGATCCATGCTGTTCGCTATCAGTTTCTCTACGTATTATAGAGTTTGCAAGCGAACAGCATGGATCCTGATCTCACTGCGCGGATGCTCAGGCAGGTCTGGATCCATGCTGGTCGCAAACCCATTGGTTGTGTCGTGACGCGGCTCAGATGTTTAATTTAATCGCTATTTGGCGCCACCATTGTGCAGAAACTTGATTTAGTGCTTAATTTTGTATGTTTAAAATGATTGTTGTTTTTCCCTTTCTTCAAAATATAAAATTTAAAACTGGATTGTTACGCTAACATTACAATGCCGTTGTGCATTATGTATCGTATATAAAACATGTACAACAGTTAAATGATTATTTCATAACATTTATCTTTTGGGTTTCAAGTGACATTGACAATTGAAATGGTCATATGGCGAATTCCCAGCTCTACTGCATGGCCGAGAAAGTTCGTGCATTATATCAGGTACTAATAGGCCTTTAATTAAAATCCAAAGTATTATCAATGGAAAAGAGCCAAAATGTCTAATATTTTATACTTATTTGATTTTACTTTAGCCCGGCAATTATCTTTAATAGTCGTAGCGCATTTGTAGCACATTTATAAATTCCTACACAGTGGTCCCCCTTTGCTTCGCTACACACACCACAATCGCAACTACTCGGCCCTTTCCGTCAGTCTTCGAATAAGGTTATTATAGATAATAGCCGAGGCAGTTCCGAATGCACAGGCCACTGTCATCACACGTTTTTTTTTATCAAATTTTTGATAGGGTGCAATATAGAATAATTATTTTGATTGTGGTTTATTTTGTTGTATATGTTATTTATTGTTAACTTTTCGCTGATAGATTGCTTAAATTGAATAAGAAAAATAAAAAATATTGATATATGTATTATTATGCGGATACTTTCGGTTCTGTACGCAAAAGTGTTATTCTAAGTAAAGTGAAAGTAGGATACTTGCATATACTTTTGTCAGTTCATGAATAAGTTTGGTTTCATTCGCTTCTTTCCACAAATTAACGTAATGATTGTTGTTTTTTTTTGTCACAAAAAAAGACGTTTTTCGACTAAAACATTTTCGTTGGCGTAGTTTTGAAATCCTCAATTTTGAAGTTACGTGCCACATTCTATGGTAACGTGAAACTTGCGAAGAGGCAGATATTTGAGCGAAGCCAATCGAATCACTGTGAGGAGTTTGGCACATTTGTTTAATTATTCATTTTTTATGTTGCGTAAAAAAGCAAGTAGTCTAACTGCAATGTGTTACTAAAATATCATATATACATGTAAAACTAGCCATGGAATCAAACAAATAATTAATGGCATGATGCTATCGTTTCTTTTCTGACTTTCACAAAGTTCTCTGAACTTTAAAGGAACTCCACCGACGTCAAAAAGTCTAAAAACATAAAAAATTATAATTCTTACGTAGATCATGATGTACTTAAAATTGAAAAATCTGAAGGCATATGAGCCGCGTCACGACCAAACCAACATAATGGGTTTGCGACCAGCATGGATCCAGACCAGCCTGCGCATCCGCGCAGTCTGATCAGGAGCCATGCTGTTCGCTATCAGTTTTTCTACTTGTTATAGGGTTTGTAAGCGAACAGCATGGATCCTGATCAGACTGCGCGGATGCGCAGGCTGGTCTGGATCCATGCTGGTCGCAAACCCATTATGTTGGTTTTGTCGTGACACGGCTCATATACCTTTAAGAGTTTAATTGAAACTTTATTCTAAATGAGATGCTTTAGTCCGCTTTAAGAAAAAGCGTTGCAACGCTTTTCATTTTTGCGCCTTTTTGCAGAATAAAAATGATTATTCCGGAAGAATGATCTACAATTTTGCACACAAATTATTAGCCCAGACCTACATCAAATGGTACACGAATCTTGAGAGAGAAAACAATCAGTTCCTGCCTGTCAGAAAAACGCCAGTGGAGTCCCTTTAAAGTATGAAAATGAAATCAATTCTTACCATTGTGTAGTAGATTGTCATTAATTTAATCCATCAGATTTACACAATTGCAATACGTGTATACTAATTTATAAATATAAAATTTTAATAATCTCAATTCTTTTATTCCTTGATATATATCGAAGTCATGAATTTTTTATTTTATGTCCCCTTTTTCACCGGTACTCAGATCCTCTTTGAATAACATTTTTGTACCGAAGTCAATTCGCGCACAAAACATAAAATTAAACTATATACTCATGACACCGTGTTAAATTTCAGTGTTTATTTTCAAATACCGTTTATGGGGGTACATTGTGCTTTTTTGGCAATAAAGAAGTTCTTTATTAACTTAAGATAACCGCAGCTTACAAAACATCTACCTAAAATGATAAAGCTTTAAAGTGTTGTCTTTTTGTTGTCTAAATATTTTAAAGTTTAAACGATTATTTAAAAGTTGATACATTTTGTAGGTACAGTAAAGATATATATGTTCTTGTGCGTGTAATAAGTTCCTTTTCAATATCATTTTGACTAAATTTGAATTTTGTTTAATTGCTTAAAGTATTGAGTCTAAAATTATCAAACATATACGGCCCTTGCTTGCAAATGTTGTTTATTGATGGATGGATGGACCGCCCGGATGGACGAACGGACGGACGGATGAATGAACGGACGGACGAAATTGCTCTTCAAAAATGTATATTTCATCATGGTTTTGTAATTACATTTACATGTATATAATTATGTACATGTAGTAGATATATATTATACAGACCCAAGTTTTTGACAAGCAGAATTGATTTGTTTGTTTTTACAAGGTAACTGAAACTCCTAAATCGTATACAGAATAAAATTGAGAGTCTTTATAGCATTTTTGCCTATAATTAGTCTATCCAACTGATAAGGATAACGTATCTATCGATTGATTGATAATGAATAATGGCCGACAAAATGAATGAATGAAACGAGCATGATAAGAAGATAACATTTTTCTTGTGAAGTTTCTTTCTTCTTTTTTTTTGCAGACAGACCCAACTTTATGTATGAACGTATTGAACGCTAATTCAAAGGTTATACAGTGCAACTTCACAGAACAGCCATCTGTACAGCATCTACCTCTTTACAACGATCGTTTCAAATTCTGGCCGAGTGGTCAAGGTCGTTGACTTCAAACCACTTCCATTTGCCCCTCATAGCTCTAGGTTCGAAGCCCGACAGGTCCTTTGGATTATTTCATTTTCATGTGAGGAAGGTTTCCAACTAGCTTACACAATGTCCGTGGTTCTACTCATGTACCCTCATGTATAGGTTAAACCCTCCAGAGCAACACCTCTAAGTCTTAGTTTAATTTCTATGGAACAATAATTTTTTTTTAAATCTCTTTGATATTTCAGTACTTTCTTTTGATATTGGCCAGAAACTGTTTTACATTTCCATACAAAAAATTATAATATATCAATCAAAATACTGAGACAACTTAAGCAAGGGGAAGAACTCGGTATACCTAAGCTAAAGCTTTCTGATTTTTTTAACAAGAAAGATAACTGTATTGGAAACCTTGACCTTAATAAACCAGAGTGATTTCTCTTTGGATAACGGATTACAGGATCAAAACTGATAAATGCATTTAGTTTAAACATTGTTTATCTAGCTCGATTGTGAATTAAGCCTGTAGCTTATTTTGCCACACTCGCGTCCGTCCCTTGAACTACCCTGTACTGCGTCAAATGAGGGAACATCGTGACCACAATGGGGCTCAAACCCAAAATCGTTTGGTTGAGAGAGGCAGGCTCCGTACCAACAAGGACACCGCTTTCCTTTCAAACCCCGTTAAAAAGTAATCATTGACCAGACAGTGAAATTAAATGCCGTTTTTTTGGTGACATTGGTGGTTGTTTATGTGTTTAAATTCAGAGATGCTACAGTTGTTTTCTTTTTCGTAGTCGAAAAAAGTCGAATTGCTACCTTACTCGTAGAAATTGTAGTTTGTGTAGCTGTATAAGTTTTTGTAGAAGTAATATAAGTCGTATTCGTGATCTTAGTCGCCGTCGTTATATTTTAGTCGTAAAAGTCTGGTCGAGGTTGTGGCCGTAGTCATCGACGGAGACATAAAATACGAATATGTCGCCGTAGTATTTGCTGTTCACGTACAAAGTCGTAGTTGAGGGAGTCGTCGTAGCTGTACTTAAAGTCATGTAAGTCGTAGAGGTCGTATTTGGGGTCGAAGTCGTCGATATCGTCATGATCGTTGTCGCTAATGCCATTGTTATGGTAGAAGTTATGATGGTCGTTGTCGAAGTCGTCGGCGTAGTCGTAACAGTCGTTGTCGTAGTCGTTGCTATCCTTAATGTCATTTAAGTCTTAGAAGACGTTTTTGTGACACATTCGTCGTCATGGTCGAAGCCGATTTCGTAGTCGTAAAAAAGTCGTAGTATTGGTCATGACCATAGTCATAATCGTGGTAATCGGCGTTGACGTAGTTATCGTAGTCGTCGTGGTCGTAGTCCGGACGAACACCATGATGATCATCGCCATCTTGGTAATCATACGGCAATGAGCTAAATATGGCTAAATGCAGCATCTGAGCGTATACAGCTAACGGTAGGCTGTATTCCTGGTAGGCTGTATACGGTGTTACAGTCAACGTGTACAGCTCAGACGTAAGCTATACACGTCGTAAGCTGTATACGTTACAACCGGAGGGGGGGGGGGGGCTCGAACCGGATGTTTTGTGGGCGTATCCATTTTAAACATTTCACAAACTTGTATTATTGTTAAGATCTTTACATGTATTGCAATTACACCTCGTAATAGCGAGCTCGACGAGCTGGCCCGAAGGGCCTGCTCGCAAAGCGAGCTTTACGGTAACGCGAGTACCTGCTAAGTGATGGTTTTGAAAACTTTCGTCCGAAGTACCGAATTGGACACATCGCAACTTTTCGAATATAAAGATAACCATAAAAACTGAGGAATTCTGACTGAAAACGGATGTGTAGACTGGTCATCCGCGCACGTCTATGGGCAAACTCCTCACAGTGATTACCTCCCTTGGCAGAATTGTAATCACTGCCTTCAAAGACGTCACATGATGATGAAAGTCACATGACGTAACGTCGAAATTCAAATGTAAATTCAACCGTTACATAGAAAATCTAACGTCATTTTTCTCTTTCTGTTTTATTTTTAACTTTTAGTGCCTACGTTCGATATAGTTTATCAAAAAATTAACAAAAAGTGTACAAAATAACGAAAAATAAATTCAAAAGCTAAAAAATATAAAATATCAAAATATTGTCTCGGTAGAAAATATTCTCATAATTTTAAAATTATTTCTAAATATTCATATTATTTATTTATTTATCCATAAACATTGTTTAATCAATGAGAAAAAACTTTACTGATAGATAAAAGCAGTAAATAAAACAATTTTTGAAAAAAATATAGTATATCAGAAATTCTGATATATCGGGACCTTGGTGGCAGAGATCTATGCCGAAGAATTAAGGGGAGATCACTGCGTGGAGATTGGTCTATGGGAACCATAATTGGACAGGGAACCAGATGACGGAAGCTGTCGATAAAATATCGAATGAGAGTTTTAAAACGGAAATGTAAAATGAAAATTGAAGGCGTCATTTTGTTTGAAAAATCTGAAAAATAAAAACAATTTTTTGTCGAATTTTGTTGTGAAAACTATCTAGAATGAAAGAAAATGGTCTAACTAAGAAAATGAATCCGAACACCAATATCTTTTATTCAGTCGTTAACGCTGTACAGACGTTTAAAGTATTGTTTACGTGACGTCACAATGTAGCGCCAAACAGCACGTGCTAAACCAACAAATCAAGTACGCTCTTTTAATGTCGCAAACGTTTTAACGTTTTTTTCGTCCAAAGTACCGAATTTGGACACATCGCAACCTTTCGAATTTAAAGATAACGATAAAAACTGAGGAATTCTGACTGAAAACGGATGTGTAGACTGGTCACCCGCGCACGTCTATGGGAACCATAATTGGACAGGGAACCAGAATAACGGAAGCTGTGTATAAAAAATGAAAATCGAAGGCGCCATTTTGTTTGAAATCTGATAAATAAAAACAATTTTTTTGTCGAATTTTGTTGTGAAAACTATCTAGAATGAAAGAAAATGGTCTAACTAAGAAAATAAACGTCTGTACAGCGTTAACGACTGAATTAACGACTGAATAAAAGATATTGGTGTTCGGATTCAAAGTATTGTTTACGTGACGTCACGATGTAGCGCCAAACAGCGCGTGCAAAACAAACAAATCAAGTTCGCTATTTTCATGTCGCAAACGTTTTAAGTTTTACATTTATTTCACTTTAAATAATCTTTATTACGCTTAATAATTATAGAGTGAAATAAAATAAACATAGTTTTATAAACGTTTTCAAAACTCGTTATTCATTTCACGACAGGGGCGGAGCCATATTTAACACAGTACGTGTGACGTCACACGCACTCGTCACTGCATGTGAAATAAAAATGAGCGATTATTTCATACTATTTCACGTAAAAAGTACATCGAGCTCGCTTTGAGGCTTTGCCTTTTTCATATTATTGCTTTAGAAAAAAAACAGGAATGAACTAATTATGTCAGTAATGTTTCGGTAGATACTACCTGTTCTTTCTGAACATTTTTTTATTTAAACTCGGACTACATGCTATTGCTTTAGATTTCTACATTACATATATGACAAACGATCGCTAGAAATGTTTAACATATGATTTACCACAAGATTAACAAAAGATTCATATCAATTTTTATTTTTTATAAAACCGTTTAAAATTGTACAATAAAAGTAAAGAAAATACAAAACATCTATAATATTAATTATGCATATTTCGGGCATTGCATGGCTAAAGAATAATATACAAATAATAAACAAAGCTTAATATACAAACTTAAAGAATGAACACAATTAAGTTACGTAGTAAGTTCAAATCATCTTTATTTAGATGTCAGAATAACTGCAGAGTCACAGCCGAGAGTTATTGTGTCTTTATTTATAACTGAATCCGCCTCATCCGTGACGTCACCGGAAGTACCTACGATATCCCATTGCTGATCTGACGACTCT